CTTGTTTGTCTTTTGGAGCCTAGAGGCGGGTACTACAAGTTTATTTCTATGTCTGGTATTCATAGAAGGTACGTCACTTCTTTTCAAAAAGCTATCTTTGTTTTTATGAACTTACTAGCTGACCCGGCAAACGTTATTTTGCCATATACATTATTCTTCTATAAAAAAATATTTAGGGGTGGGTCACCCTTGTCATTTAGGGGTATGAAAAAAAGATGTTGGCCGATTCTCAGACCTACCCGATGTGCACACAAAATTTCATAAAAATCGGTCCAGCCGTTTCGGAGGAGTATGGTAACTAACATTGTGACACGAGAATTTTATATATTAGAGATATTACATTTTCATATATAAATTGACTTGCCACTGTCAATATGTTTATTTTTTTAAATTTCTGCCTTTTTCTATCTTAAGCTTTTCTGCTTTATTTAATGGTTTTGTGGTAGTACCAGATTCAGAAGTTTTTGTTACTGAAAAAATGTACCACGCCATGAATGCAAATTATATGGCACGAAGTAGCGGACACAGCTAGTTCCAATAGCTAGTTTTTGATTTTTCTTCATTGGACGACTCTCCTTAAAACAAACAGCGATGCCGATGGACACCTGCAGTAGTGTAGCTAACTGATCCGTGCAACTTTGTCTGCTACTCTCATAAGGAGTACATTTTCCCCGTTTCCGGATCATTTTTCATAAATACGCGGTTCTTATTGGTCGTACCATGATGTTATAATTATAGCTTCAGTATATCCCTATTATAATAACAGTCTTTCTGAACATACAAACTTAAAAATATTAGTAATAGCTAATGGCGTTCTAACTTTCATTAGAGTCATATGCTCATATAAGATATTGAAGTATATTATCCTAGGTCCTTCAGGTGTACCTCGTGTGCGTTACCCCAGCAAAATAATGTCGAAAATGGTCATTTAAACGTTATAGATAATTAGTTGCTCCCCTTCTGTAATTGTTAGGCACATTTTTAAATTTGTTTCTCTTAAACTTTTTTAGTTATTTCAAAAAAACATTTCCTGCTGGGGTAACGTTTGAAACGTTACCGCAGCCAGACATTTTCTTTTTTAATTGTAATATTGAAATAAATTTTAGCTAGATAATTAGTTATCTGGACTAGGTAAATGTTACAACTTATTTGGTATTTGTATTTTCTTCGGCTGCGAAGTTATTCGAAATCCTGCTGGAGTAACGTTTGTGGGTTTGCTGGATCTCTGAAACGGGTAAGCGGATTGTAACCATCTTTTGTACATAACTTCTTAAGGATTAGTTTTAATTTGTTCGACAATAAAATAACAAAAATAATGGACCGTTTAAAAATTATTTAGGTAAGTATGAAAACACTTCAATACGTCCTAACACTTTAAATAAGACCTCTAAAGACTTACTTCAAACGTTATTCTATTGCTTGTAACTACCTTCAAATGTATACGAATTTTCGTAAGAATACTATAAGTGACTAAAAAGTTATGATGAAATGTAGCTCTCCACGTTCACGATCACAATGTGTGCGGCCTTTTTTGGCCACCGATGAACCTGTGTGTGGATATATAAACTGAATGTTATGCCAATAATTAGTTGTTTAGTTCAGTTGTCTACCTGTAAAATTTCAGCGTAGTACATATAATAATTTACGAGATAATTAAATAAAAGTCATTAGAAGGTGCAAGACCGTGGTAACCCGACCATGTTTAGGTGGTTACAAAAAAGCGATCACCCAGTACATTGTGCTGGCTTTTAAAATATGTAGGATATTATTTGCAAGTTTACTACGGATATGTACATAAGTGTTACAAAAAACTACGTTTTAATTGTTTATTGCATAGTTAGTAATCAGCCGGGAGATTAGGTATTGTTTTGAATGCTTTTGTTTTCTCGTAATGTTAAGGTGAATTGTTTATAGTTGTTCATAGAATTGGTACCTGCGTAGTATTTGTTAATTGAAGTTTAATTTTAGGGTAGGTATAGGTAATTTAAGTTTTGAAGAGTGTAACGTATGCGTTGTAAATAGGTATTTTGTGAATAGATGGGGATTTTTTTAAGTGATGAATTAACTTAGGCTAGCATATCGCGAACAAACTCTGTATTGCAATATTTCTGTAATAATGTTGGAGAAAATAAAATATTTGATCACAAAATCGCGGTGAGTTAAATTATAATAAAATAAATTATTTATATAAAATTAGTAATAAGTGATATACCTACCTACAAGTTATGATCGTTTTTAATTGGTTCACCCTTTTTTTTTTTCCGTGCGGAAATCCCCTCGGATACCACCTTTCGGTGGCATGTCGGACTCGAACCGACTAAAACCGCACGCCGTCTCGGGTACTAATAGCCGGGGAACCAGGTATACCCTAGAAAGGAAGTCCCTGGTACTAATTGGTTCACCCTGAACAAAATTTCAATATTAGCATTAGTAATTAATATCCTAAGACAAGAATTGACAATTACTTAAATTGAATCGAATTAGCATTAATGCCCATTATTAGTAATTAGGTACACACATATTGAAGAACTCTCAAGAATACGATAAATATTTGCAAAAATAGAAAGCGGAAGCGCACACGTACTTTACAACACGTATATTATCTGCCTAAGGGTCAAGTTTAGTGCACTAGATGCAAATTGCAAACAATGAAGTATCCCTTCGCCCCTCCCCTCCCGCGTTCTAGCGAAGGATGTATTATCAGCGATTCTTGATTGACAAATATTATCTGACCAATAATTTTATCTATAAAAATGTATCACTTTCACTCGATAAATTAAATCACCGTTATTATATCAAAATATCATTCAACAACTGTTCGTTTTTAACAGAAATCAACAGTCACGGGCTCAACGCTTAACGATAGGTACATAGGTATAGATAATTCTCGGTTCTCGGTATAGACTACAGAACAATATTACCTACTCTTACGAGGTATACGACTGTTGGGCGATGCAATGTTGATGCATTCTAATTTACAACTGTATTCTTCTACTATTCGGTCTATTTTAACTTATTGTAGATGACTTGTTGCTTTGAATATTTGGATGCATTCAAGTCTAAGTCTAACGATTTCTTATTGGTTTAAATTTTCGATTTATTGCAGTAAGGTGAATCGTTCATACATGTATCTACATATTTAAAATTTTAGCGGACCAGTGCAGATTTTCTGTTGATTGTAGCTCCGGTGGTAAAAAAGACTAAAGAAATTTTAAGTAAAGAAACTAGTGCTTAAGATCAATTGGGGAAAAACACAAAATAAATAATAGGTAATAATAATGAATAAATATTGAATGTATTTAACACTGTACGCAACTGTACCGAAATCGTAAGGTGTATTACACTAAACATTTTAAAAGACAGCCCAATAGACTGGGTGATCGCTTTTTTGTAACCACCTAAACATGGTCGGATTACCACGGACTTGCACCTTCTAATGACTTTTATTTAATTATCTCGTAAATTATTATATGTACGACGCTGAAATTCTACAGGTAGACAACTGAACTAAACAACTAATTATTGGCATAACATTCAGTTTATATATCCACACACAGGTTTATCGGTGGCCAAAAAAGGCCGCACACATTGTGATCGTGAACGTGGAGAGCTACATTTCATCATAACTTTTTAGTCACTTATAGTATTCTTACGAAAATTCGTATACATTTGAAGGTAGTTACAAGCAAAGGAATAACGTTTGAAGTAAGTCTTTAGAGGTCTTATTTAAAGTGTTAGGACGTATTGAAGTGTTTTCATACTTACCTAAATAATTTTTAAACGGTCCATTATTTTTGTTATTTTATTGTCGAACAAATTAAAACTAATCCTTAAGAAGTTATGTACAAAAGATGGTTACAATCCGCTTACCCGTTTCAGAGATCCAGCAAACCCACAAACGTTACTCCAGCAGGATTTCGAATAACTTCGCAGCCGAAGAAAATACAAATACCAAATAAGTTGTAACATTTACCTAGTCCAGATAACTAATTATCTAGCTAAAATTTATTTCAATATTACAATTAAAAAAGAAAATGTCTGGCTGCGGTAACGTTTCAAACGTTACCCCAGCAGGAAATGTTTTTTTGAAATAACTAAAAAAGTTTAAGAGAAACAAATTTAAAAATGTGCCTAACAATTACAGAAGGGGAGCAACTAATTATCTATAACGTTTAAATGACCATTTTCGACATTATTTTGCTGGGGTAACGCACACGTGTACCTCAAGGATCGTGTATGAGCCTGCTTTTCATTTTAATTTTTATTAATTATTTTAGTGAATTCTATTAGTTACAATTTCAATATGTATGCTGATGATCTAAAACTTTATAAAGTTATATATATAAACGAAAACTTTAATAAAATTTAGACTAAACTTTTATAAAATTAAATGCACACGAAGAAAATCATGTGACATTGTTATGCTTTATAATTTTATAAATGGATTGATAGATTGTCCGAAATTCCTAGCCACCATTACAATTCAAGTTCCACGAACCTGTAGTGGTCTTCACGATAAGAAGACATTTTCATTCAAACTATTTCCGGAAAGCGCTCCTCTCTGTATAATTCTGGTTATGCGGGAAGGCGTCGTGAACATCATGTCTGCCCAATCCCTATTTTCAGGACCACTTTGGCAACACTGTACCATAAAGTTCTCGGGTGTCATTTGTACAATGCCATAAATAAGTTCTGCAATATTTATCTTCTCTGTGGGTCTCAATGTAGGGGAATAGTAAACGAGTGGCTAATGAATTAGTCTTACAATGATACAGATACTTACTCTGATTTCTAACGCTATAAAACTATATATCTATATATTCAATTCGAGACATTCACACACACACACGCGTGCGCACACATCCCAACCAATTTTGTGATCGTGAAACATTATCTCGAACTATTTTCGCTAAGCGGTTCGGCGTTTCAGTGCGAGCGGGAGGGAAAGTAAATAAAAGAGTGCGGAGCGAGTACAGGTTTAATTAACGTGTCCGCGGGCGTCAGGGCTCCTCGTCCGCCTGGTGCTCGAGCAGCAGCTGCGCGAGCGAGTGGCGCGCGCCCAGGTCCAGCCCCGCCCCCGCCCCCGCCCCCCCCCGCGCCACGCGGCGCCAGCACGCGGCGGCGGCGGCGGGGCAGGGCGCGGGGCGCGGGGCCAGCACCAGCGCCGGCTCGGGCGCGCGCACGCAGTGCAGGGGGCCGCGCGCCAGCTCGGCGGGGGGGGCGCCCCGCGACCCGCGCCGCGTCGCCGCCGCCGCCTCCAGGTCGGCGCGGTAGAAGGCCGACACGAGGCTCGCGCGCTCGTTAAAGCGGCCCGTGTTGGTGGCCGGCTTGCCGCCGCCCGGCGCCACGAAGCGCGGGTGCGAGTACAGCGAGTAGCGCGCGAACGGCAGCGGCAGGTACCACTGCGACCCGGCGATCGTGTTCATGCGCACCTGCGACGGACGGACGGTCAGAAAATAGAGAACGGCGAGCGACCCGCCCGGACCCCGTCGCCGAACGCTCACCCTGTTGAGGAAGTCCTGACTGAACTCCGCGTGCGGCACGGTGAGCAGGACGAGCGCGTCGCGCGCCAGCAGCGGCAGCGCGGCGTCGAGCGCGGCGAGCTGCGCGCGCTGCAGGGCGGCGCCGTCGGGCTCGGCCGCGCCCCCCCCCCCCGGCCGCGCTGTCCGCGAGCCGCAGCGGCGCCTGCGCGTGGCGCGCGCTCAGCGCTGAGAACGCGGCGCGCAGGGGGGCGGCCGCCGCGGTGTCGTTACCTTCGTTGACTATGACCTGCCGGGAACGAACGAACCGTCGAGCGGTTCATGTTATATATCGACGACACGCCAAAATCTATTGAGCGACGTCCGACCGTGTTCGCCGACGACAGTACCGTAGCGATCCCTTACGAAAGTGCGACCGCGTACGAAATCGACGTCGACGATTCTCTCGATCGTATAACGAGACGGCTAGACAAAAATAATTCGATTACAAATTTAAGCGAGACGAAGACGATGCGCTTCAGACGCGTACACCCGACGTACCCGATCTTCGTATACGGTACGAGGATACGTCGTAAACGAGGCCAGCGATACGAAATTTTTAGGTCTACAAATTGATAACCGCTTAAACTGGAAAGCAGATATAGAGATTCTGTGCAAAAAATTGAATACATCGGCATATGCTTTACATAGACTATCCTCCATAGTAAACAATAAAGCACTTCTCACTGCTTATTACGGTATAGTGGAATCTCGCTTACGCTACGGCGTCATATTCTAAGGAAATTCGACTGATAGAGATTCAACATTTAAGGCTCAAAAAAAAAAACCTCCGATCAATGTTCAAACTTAAAACTGGTGACGGTTGCAAAACCATATTTTTGACATTACCCTGTACTTATTACGTCACCAAAGTTGTCAAACCACGTTAATGCGTAAAAGTGTCTATTGTATGGCACCACTAATATTTAATAAACTGCCGGGCGGGGGGAAAGATTTGGAAACAGTTGTGTTTAAGAGTAGACTACGTAAATTTCTAGTAGATAAATACAGTGTAACAGAATTTTTATTGGATTTTTTTTTTGAAGTGTTATGATTATGGATATATTATCTTGATGTCTATTGTGGAGTTTTTATTGTATGTTTACTATTGTGTCATTACTGATTTTTATTACCTAATGTTAAGACTTAAAATTAATATTATTATTAAGATCGAGTCTAAAAGCCTGTTTCTTGGCCTAATACAAAAAATGTTTGCACGCCACTGGTAAAATATGGTTGAGCTTCAACGTACCGTAAGACCTATCGTGTACTACCCATATTTGCAAAATAAAATACTCTATTCTACGTGACGTTCTATACGGTTCGCGAGAGCGACCGACCCCCCACCGTCGGAGAAGAGAAAACGCACTGACCATGACGAGAGCGGTGTTCTTGTCCTGATCGATGCAGACGCTCTCGTAGCGCTGCAGGAAGGAGAGCGCGTCGGCGGCGCCGCGGCGGTCCGGCGTCACGCCCAGCACCAGCGTGACGCGCGCGCTCTCCGTGACGTAGCGCACCGGCACCAGCCGCACGGCGCCCAGCGGCCGCGCCACCTCCAGCAGGCGCAGGCCGTGCCGCGCCGGCTCGCCCGCGCCCAGCCGCAGCAGCAGGCGGTAGCGCAGCGCGCGCGCCGGCTCCCAGCGCCAGGCGCCCTCCACCAGCCGCGCCCAGCGCGCGCCCTCCCAGCGCCGCAGCGCCCACGCCTCCGCCGACCGCACCACCAGCTGCGGGCACACTCCGGTTACTAGGCGTACCGGTACGCGGGCCCCCCCCTACGGCCGGCGACACTTACGTCGAGCGCCTCGCGATGGGCTCCCTCGACGAGAGCCACCTCGCGGTGATCGTCCGGGTAGAAGGCGTGCGTGGCGTTGAACGAGATCCAGCGCAGGTGGTCGAATCTGTCGATCGAACGCGAGCGTTTCGTTAATATATAGTAAAAGTTTAGATCGTCCGTCTCTCGTCGAGCGACCGCCGCGACGAGCGTGGAGCGTCGGGTGTCACCTGGTGTCGGGCAGGGGCGGCGCGAGGCCGGGGTCGGCGCGCAGGCCGCCGGGCCAGGTGGCGTTGCGGTAGCCGGGCGGGTGGCGCGCGGCGCCGCGCCAGAGCTGCGCGCGCAGGCGCGTGACGAGCGCGCGGTCGCGCTGCAGGTGCACGCGCGACACGAACGCGTGCAGCGTGTAGAGGTGCGCCGCGCGAGTCACGGGGAACACCGTCACGGCGTCCGCCAACTCCTCGCCCAGCGACGGACCGCTCTCGGACACGGCGGCCCGAACCGACTTATAGGTTTCGCCCTGTGGACATTTGTGCCGTGTTCAGAAGGGCCCCTCGGCTTCTGCGCTCGTCGAGAATATGTTTGTATCCGTGTTATAAAAAAGTAAACACTATAAGAATTAAACTTCAGTAAAAACTCTATAATTGAAGGAAAAATGAAGCAGCTCTTTACTTGTCCGATAAAGTAATAAACGAACTGTTAACCTGTAACTGCGGCGTGCAAGAGAGATGCGCCGCGTGCAACACACAGCGTCCGATGTTCTCGTGATGGTGCGGCGAGTAGGAGTTCCGAACGCACCAGTCCAATTCATTGTGCACTGCACGAAGCACCGTATTTGATAACAACACTCCACCCTCTGAAACACACATCTCGTTTTAGTATTCTCCACCGTGTAGCCTCCAGGTGTAACACTTGTAATGGAATAAACCCTCCTCTCCTGAAAAAGCACCCTCTAGACACAAGAAGGTATACCTGTAGTACAGTGATTGGTCTACCAAGAATTATGTAAAATACAAACAATACCAATATAATTTACATACAAAATCTGTCCTAAACTCTTTCAAACTGGACACAAATTATGGAATAGCTAATTTATATACATATTAGGTCTAATGGAATATAAAAAGTTGGTCTAATAAAGATATTTCTATCTCTCTAAAAGCAATTGTATGAAGAATGCAGTAGTGTTTGAGTTGCAATTAAAAGTTTACTCTTCATATGAACATGTTCGTGTAATAATAAGCACTTGAGACATCTCAGACATGGCAGTCTAATCCCAAACTTCATACCATATGATTACCAGACTGCTTATATAATATATATATTTCTAGATATGTCTATATTATAGATAAATTACACCCAGACACAGAACAAATCACCATGTTTGTCACACAATACTTGTCCTGGGTGGGAATTGAATGAATTGAACCAACAACTTGTGGGGTCAGTCAGGGTCACTGAACACTACACTAACAGGCCAGTCCAGTATAAACCTTTGCATTGGTCCAGATATATGTATGTCATTATGGTTAATTTCTTAGTGTTAATGTGTTGTTCTAAAATGAAACACAAGCCAAACTAGCTACTACTAAACGAGGTATTGAATGAACTGACTGACCAAATAATTGAATCACTCACCTAAATAAGTCAGATGCACATCACTGGGTCCAAAACCATCAAGTGGCTAAGATACACACAAGACACCAGTGGTATGGACAGCCAACAAATAGGTAAATGAAAAGTAACATTTATGTCGACATACCTAGTGAGCAGTAGTGACTGTCGTCCTCAGCTACGGTGCCCATGTACACATCCTCACTGACACTCAGCTGTGACACCAACTCTGTCAGGCGTCGAGCATTCACAAATGCTGTGTCTGACACCAGGAAAAAGAAGTCATATTCTTCTAGATAGTTATCTGCTAGATATTTAAGAGCATGAAAGGGCTTCAGTATTTCTCTTGTATCAGTAAAGCCCACTACATTGGCTAAGCCGGGGACAGAGCTCATAGCACTAGCAGTAATGAAGAACTTCAATGCAGGCTGCAGACGGGCTGTAGTGTGGTTTAATGCTGCTATTTGGCTCTTCAAAGCTTCTTCAGAACTCAACACCCCAGTTAGTAAAGATGCTGGAACAAACAAGGGTCACATACTATAAAATTCCTTCATAAACAACTATTGGTGCTAATTCTGTTGTTCGAAAACTCTCTAAACCAAACTAAAAATCGCAAAAAAAATGTTTAGCTCTCTCAAAAAACGTTTCCTATTCTGAAAAGGTAATATTTGACAAGACAAAAACTTTTTTTAGTGATTTTTAGTTTGGTTTAGAGAGTTTTCGAACAACAGAATTAGCACCAATGTTTTGCATTTTAGTAGAACTTTACTTTTAAATACAAATTGTCTCTCTCAATACATCTTTAAACACAATGTTGCACCAGTTTAGTCGCGAACGTAAGATTCTAAGAACAATCTATATTATTGTGTACCACCAAGTAGGTTGTTGGATTGTTACATTGCTGTACATTTTATATATACCTCTCATGCCTAATTCGTTGCTGTAATACCGAGGCCGTTGTATACTGCGTCCGACGGTCTGACCCGCAGGCCCGAGAAGGCGCTCCTCGCGATGTGGTTCATATTCGTCATCAGCGGGCACAGCTACGATAGGACTGGAACATGCTACGGAAGGCTCTTCGTCTAGTGGAATTACAGCCAATGACACCCATAGTCCCAGCGCGAGACCCACCAGGAAGTAGGAATTATGTTTCACTTGCGAAACCACGTAGCGCGACAACATTGTGAGTACAACACAACTATGCGACACTGAAATGATGCTACAGCGTTAAGCTATCGCCGACGACTTATTTCAACATTGATGTTAATCATCAATTAGCTTTATCTCGAGTTTGTGTTCATAACTATCTATTCTATTCTATTTTTCTCTATGGCAAACGATGCCGATATGTCGACAATTCTGCCAATGTCAGTCGTGCGCTGAAATGTATGTGATAAGAGAACGAACACCAGGTATTCCTGTTAAAATTTTGTTTTCTTTGTGAATCTTGTTATGGAGTTAGGACACTGAAACAAATATTACAAATACAACACACTGCTACTTACGGATACAAATTATACATATATAAAACAGATATATAATAATAGATAATAATAATAATAACTAGATACTACATTAGTATTGACAAAACATTATCAGGATTCAAGTCAGAGTCTGATATTATTGGAATTGATGAACGACATAAGGCATACACGTAGTGGACGGGAGGAATGGGTCAGAAGGGAAGCAAAGTTTATAGGAAGGGGGATGTTCAATTTTGTTAGTTTACTGTACAGACTGGGGAGTGAGTTATTAAGGGGGCAATCAAAAAATATATGTTCCAGGGTCCCCTCGTCAAGGCCACATTCACATAGAGAGGAGTCTCGTACACGAATTTTTTGTAGAAACACTGGGGAGCAACAATGGCCCAAGCGTAGACGACAGATTACAGATATTACAGTTTTTGCAGTTTTTTTGTGTTGGTAAAACCAAGGCTTTGGAGTAATGTTTGGTTGTACTGCATAGTAGTATTTGCCTTTCTTCTTGCTGGACTCATTCCACTGGGATTGCCATGAAGACACCAGTATCTTTTTGGGTACAGCCAATAAGTCATAACCTTGATTATAGTAGTGCTTAAGGTCTACAGATGGTGCTGAGATGGCACTTTTGGCCAGCATATCTACCAACTCATTGCCCCTGATGCCAGAGTGACTTGGGATCCACACTAACTGGACTGTTGTTTGTTTCATGAAACATTTAAAGAGTTGTTTCTTTATTTCTAAAATAAGGGAGCTGTGTAATTTGCTTTTGTAGGGGTTCTGTTCTAGGGCCTTGAGACAGCTCAAAGAGTCAGTGAAGATTACAGCCTTATTAATGTTATGTGTCTGTATATATATACAGGCCTCTAGAATGGCTACACACTCACCTGTGAATACAGAGGATTCCTTTGGGCATTTGAATTTTAAAATTATTTTAGAATTTTGATAATAAACAGCAGAACCAGTGACATCCTCCTGTGACAGTTTTGAGGCGTCAGTGAAGAATCTCTGGAAATCATGCCATTTTATATTTGTCAAGGCATTAAAGGCTGCTTCAGAATTAGGATTGCCCTTGGATATGCCAATATTAAATAAAATATTTGGTTTAAAATATAATACCTCTAATTCATAGTTAAACAAGGGGAGCCTCTCGAAACTGATTAAGGGACACTCTATGTTTTCAAAGGAGTGGAAAGCTTTTAAAATGAAAGGTATATCCTTATGTCTCCAATACTGAGTAGAGTTTATAAGGGAATTTAGAAACTTTAATTTTTGAATAAGGGGATGGGTATTTCTGCATACTAGACGGAATATAAAACGCGTTGCCAAATATTGCCTTCTTAATTCTAAAGGGGGTTCAGCACATTCAACTTGTAATGCATTTATAGGAGAAGATTTCATGCACCCAGTAATGATCCGAAGACACCTGGCCTGAACCCTATCAAGGCTCGTAAGGGCCCCTTTTTTGCAGGGGCCTATTAAAAAGACACCATAATCCATTACACTGCGGATAAGGGCGTTATAGATCAGCTTCATGGTGTATGGGTGAGCTCCCCACCACACACCAGCCAGAGCTTTCAAAATAGGGATGACTCGTTCACACCTTTTGACCAAGTAGTTAAGGTGGTGATTACCTGTCATTTTATGGTCCAAGTATACACCCAAAAACTTTGCCTTTGTATCCACAGGGATGTTATGTCCTTGAATGTTTATACCTATCTGGGGAATGACCCTCTTCCTTGAAAATACAACTATTATGCTTTTTGAAGCAGACAGGTTCAGTCCATGATCAAGCAACCACTGGTTTAAAGATTCCAGAGAAATTGATAGGGATGTGGTAGCGTCAGTAATGCATTGGTTCGTCACATATAGAGCCAGGTCATCAGCATACTGTAGTATGTGGCAATTGTTGTTAAGGGATGAACTTAAATCTACAGTATATAAGTTGAACAACAAAGGGCTTAGAACGGAGCCTTGCGGTAAGCCTTTCCATACCCTTCGCTGCCCGAGCTCTTCCCCTTGGGCCCTGAGAGTCAGTGAGCGTGACATAGTGATTTGGCATATGATATGTACCATTCTTGCTGAGATTCTCAGCTCTTGCAATTTTTGCCTGAGGATCGGAAGAAGGACGTTGTCATAGGCTGAAGTTATGTCGAGGAATGCCGCGACTACCGAGTCATTTCGGGATAGGGATATTCGGATATCTGTGGTGAGCATTGCAACGCTATCCATAGTGCTGAGTCCTTTTCTAAACCCGAATTGGGAGCTTGGAAGTAAATCTCTAGACTCCACAATCCATTCCAACCGATTTTTAAGCAGGTGCTCGAAGATTTTTAGCAGGACTGATGATAGAGCGATTGGTCTGTATCCATTTGGGTCGTCTGAATTTTTGCCTGGCTTTAAAATTGGGATGATTATTTGTTCTTTCCACTGATTGGGGACTGAACCGCTTTCATAGCAGTAGTTTATTATTTTAAGGAAATATTCCCTTGCTTTGCTCCCAAAATGGGTAAGGAAGGAGTACGGTATTCCATCAATCCCAGGAGCTGAGTCCTGGACATGATCAAGCACCATATCTAGTTCCTGAGAGGAGAATGACAAGTCAGATGTTTCTAAATCCAAGCTGGGTGGCACACACTCACTCTCTTCTATAGAGGGTACGTAAGAAGGAGCTATTTTATCAAAAAACAGTTCAGCTGTCTCGCGGTTCATAGGAGATGAGGTTCTGGGAGTGCATCCCGATCTAAACCTATTTATACTTTTCCATACTATTGATGGAGGAGTAGATGGTGATAAGGATGTGCAAAACCCGACCCACCCTATTCGTTTTTTCTGTCGTAGCAGCCTTTTGCACTTAGCCTGAACTTGTTTATAAGACAGTAAGTTATGGGTGTTCATGTTTCTGTTATATCTCTTCTCTGCCTCCTTCCGCTCCCTGACAACTCTAGTGCAATCCTGATCCCACCACGGCGGTGACGGTATTTTACCCCGAGCCGAATTTTTTAGGGGAAAGGTTAGCTCTGCACATGAGATGATGGCGCTAATGAGATTCTCCAGACAGTTCTGTACATGGCAGTGATTAGATAGACTCGGGCTTTGAAGATCTGAATTTGGAAAAGCGTTTACTCTATCCTCCAATAAATCAGTGTACTTAGACCAGTCTGCATTAGTTAGGTTGAATTTTAATAAAGGGGGAGGGCTTTTTTCTAAGAAAGTTTTACCTGAAATTGAAATAACTATGGGATAGTGGTCACTGCCATGTGACAGGTCTGAGCAATACCATTGAGCAGCAGTAGCTAAATCAGCTGAACAGAATGTGAGATCCACACAGCTTTTGAGTTGACCAGGCAGAGATCGGCGGGTAGGACAGCCATTATTAAGTATGACATAGTTAAGGTCATCTATGATCTCCACCAAGCCTTCCCCAAACGCATTACACCGTTCAGAGCCCCACCTATAATGATGACTATTGAAGTCACCCATTATAATCACTGGCCCATTGATATTCTGAAATATGCCTTTTATAGTAGGTAAGAGATTTCTATGAGGATGAGCAATATAAATAGATATAAGCGTAATACCTTCAACTTTGCAGGCAACCATATTTATGTCATCAATAGTGGTGGGCAGGGCAACGATAGATTGCGAGACTCTATTATTAATGAGGAGAGCTGACCCTCCATAAGCATCCTGTCTATCGCATCTGAGAGTGTTAAAGTGTGGCACACTAAAGTTAAGACATGGTTTTAGCCAAGTCTCTGTGATAGAGCAAGCAACAGGCGTATATTTATTTAAGAGGAATGTAAGGTCATGCTTCTTATGAAACACGCTCCTCACATTCCATTGAAGAAGTCTCAGCTGTGGAGCCATTTTTAAGATTGAGTAAAAGTTTAATAATTTTTTCAGCAACGTTGGACGGTGAATTAGGGATATTAGGGGACATAAAGGATTTTACAATTTCAATAAACAATTCAATAATTGGTGGTGTTATTAGATTGGAAATGGGTTGGATATTTGTGTTAGAAAGGCCACAGCCATTTGGCTGTGTGGATAAGGGAGTGCTAGTGATGTTATATTGAGCAGTTTTGTCATAGGATGGTGCAAGAGGAGCGTGGGATCTAGGTTTAAGCAAAATTGTTTTGCGATGTGATTCGGTGGGTTGACTTCTAGCGGCATTAGCATAGTTGCGGGACGTAGCAGGTATCAGTTTACTTGCTTCTATGTAGGATATGGCTTTTTCAACCATAGATGTCTTAATTGCCCGCTGCCTTCCATACTCCGGACAATCCTTACTGTTAGCGAAATGACTCCCGGAGCAAAGAATGCAGAAAGCATCTGCCGCAGCAACAAAACAACCGCTACCTGGGTGGTCAAGCCCACACTTAAGGCAGCGGGGCTTAGACCTGCAGGCTGCCGCAACATGACCAAACCTACAGCATTTGTGGCATTGGATGGTTGGGTATATATACTGCTGTACAGAGAGAGATGTGTAACAGCAATACACTCTCTTGGGAAGTGTCTGACCATCAAAGGTTATGACGCATGTTTCAGTGGGTTTCCAGTGGGTGACTTCATCTATTGTGACTTTGCGATTTATTCGTCTGATTTTTAGGATGCGGCCACAGCCTGAGGGTACAGATATATAATCCATTGCCTCTTCCTCAGTCAAGTCAACTGGCACCCCACTAATGACACCCATTCGCG